AACATTTATCGCGGAGTAAAGGATGCCACACGGATGTCGCCCGCAGGTCCGGCAACCGTCACACTACTCCACATACATCCTTAGTGGGATCTCCCTCCGGGGTCCTCACAGTCTACCAGGGAGTTGCAAAGAAAAGAAACACTTCTCCCTTTTTTTTTTATAAAAAAAACCTGTTTCTTTTTCATTAAACCGGCAAACGGGTCCGGCGTCCCTCACATAGACACTGCAGCCACCTGAGGCTGAGAAAGACACTTCCGGCCAACTCATCCCCAACTACAGTCAACCAGCTACCGAGACCCCACCCGTCCCAGTTCTACCAATTCCAAATTGCAAAGAGGAAAGAAAAGGGAGGAACATAACCTGACTAGCCGCAAAAGAAGAAACTACATTCCTAACAATCGTAATCAAACTACATTCCTAACAATCGTAATCTTCATATCTCCTACATCATGCACACAAACAGTATCCAATTATTCATGTCATAGTCCTATTCTACCATCCTAAGGCTTAGCTATCATTATGAAATCCCATTGCAAAGTCCTACCAACTCCAACTCACCCACAACCTCGCATTCTTTCCTACAATTCCCTCGTACGTTATTCACAATTGATCTGAAACTACCCCCAATCTGTTTCAGAGGTTCAGATCTATCTGATGGTAATCCGAAACACCAATAGAAATCTTCGTTCTACCTTTCTCGGCATTTTGGCTAAGATCAAGTGTAGTATCTGTTCTGATCAGTTTAATATCTGATCTGTGGTCCATCGGGCCAAAAAAAAAAATTCTTCGTTCTCTGCTATGGTTCCAATTTTAACTGCAACGGATGTCCGGAAGGGACGCAATTCTTCACAGGCAGGTGGGGCACTTTCGAATTTCCGTCTCCTGCAGGCGGAGGAAGCGAATGGGGGAAGGGTGGCTGTCGAGCCTACCATTTTGACACTTGTCGATATCTGCTTGAGCCGCAATTCTTCGAAAGTCTGTGGGGCGATGTGAAATAGTCCAAAACCTGTTTAAAAAAACAAAACAAAACCCGGTGTTGCGAGGCCCTCTATGTGGAACACCGGACGGGCTAAAAAAAAAAAACACCGGACGGGACCGGACGCCTGTACTCAGAACCCGCTTTCTCAGTGGCGGCGGCCTTACACGTTTCTTTCGCCTCGAGGCAGGCAGTCGCTTGCATGAATGTCCATACGCATAGCGCAGCCACATGTGTTCCGCAGCATTGGCGGGTGGCAGCATTTTCACTTCATTACAAGTATCGAATGCTGGCCCATCTTCGCGGCCGTCGGCGAACAAGTTAACCCGGCGGACGCATGAGTTAACTGCCATAGGTAGTTAGCTCGTTGGCTGATCGCTCTTGCTTTCGTCTATCTTTTTGTTCCTTGTCCGTGGCGGCCGTTACGGCGAACGTCCGTTTCTTGCTCATCGGTCCTGCCGCCCTGTGTACTAGCTGTCAGCCCAACGGCGCAGGCAGTGATAGTCTTAGTCTACGCTTCAAGGAGCATCTGCCTACGCATCGGCGGTAAATCTCTTTCCAGTGCTAACTAATTTTGGTTCTTCGACTGGTGGGGGACAGCGGCAGCGATGGCTGAAGCCGGTTGTAATGGCGTGAAGGCGACGGGCTCCAAGTACGACCACCATGGCTTGGCATTCTCTACGCGCGCTCTGCACTTCCAGGATGAGAACGATCCTTACGGCGCCAAGAACGCTCCGATCTATCTGACGGCCACGTTCAAGCTTCCCTCCGTCACGAAGGCTGGGTCGTTTCTCTATTCGCGATTCGACAACCCGACGAGATCGACGCTGGAGAAGCACATTGCTCGCCTTCACGATGCAGATCGTGCGTTCTGCTTCTCGACGGGAATGGCCGCGCTGACGACGGTGATGCAGATGGTGGAGGTCGGCGACGAGATCGTGGCGGACGATGACATCTACGGCGGGACGGACAGGCTGCTCACCAGCCTTGTCACACGATGGGGCGTGACGGTGAAGCGCGCCAACACGAGCAACCTCGACGAGATCCGAGCGGCCGTGACGGCTAAGACGAAGCTTGTCTTCCTGGAGATCGCGACGAACCCTCTGCTGCAGATCACCGATATCGCTGCCATCGCCGAGATCGCGCACAGGACCGGCGCGCTGGTTGTGGTGGACAACAGCATAATGTCGTCGGCACTTTCGAGGCCGTTGGATCACGGCGCGGATATCGTGATGGAGTCGCTGACGAAGTTCATGTCCGGGCACAGCGACGTGATGGGTGGTTTCCTGGCCGTTAGGGGGGAGCAGCTTGCGAAGGACATCCACTTTCTCCAGTCGTCCGAAGGAGCGTGTCTGAGCGCTTTCGACAGCTTCTTGATACTGAGGGGAATGCAGACGCTGTCTCTGAGAGTGGAAAAGGCTCAGGAGAATGCGCAGGCCATAGCCGATTGGCTGGCGAAGCACCCGCTCGTCAAGAAGGTGATGTACCTTGGACTTCCTGGCTTTCCCGACAGGGATCTGCATTTCAAACAGTGCTCTGGGGCGGGATCGGTCCTCTGCTTCACCACGGGAGATGTCGAGCTGTCCAAGCTGGTGGCCGATGGCGCGGAGGTGTTCCAGAAGACGGTGAGCTTCGGCAGCGTCGGCTCGCTCATCAGCTTGCCGTGCTTCATGTCGCACGCCGCTGTGCCCAAGGCCATCCGAGAGGCCAGGGGCCTGCCTGACGATCTCGTACGGCTGGGTGTCGGGATCGAGTTTGTCGGCGATCTGATCAACGATCTGGATCACTCGTTCAAATTGGCCATGGCGAAGCTTGGAGGAAAGGAGACGCCCAAGTACGAGCCCACCGGCCATTCTTCATTCGTATATAAGCCGCGCTTTCAGTAGCCGCCGCCACTTCAGCGGAGGACGGGAAGATCAGGATGGGTGAGTGCAAGCAGATACATACATTATTTGTCTCGGAAGACGTTAATGTGACTCGACTTTTGCGAGCGAATGTTTATTATTCTTCTCGGGTTTGTATGTGTTAATGCTTTTTTCTGTTCACGACTACGTTGGCGGCGTCGGTAGGTGTAGTGTTTGTGGAGTATGCACTTCCAAGTTGGGCGTGTGTTTCGGTTTTTGCCATTCGCATGAGCAAAACGGGTATTCAAGGGCCTGACGTTTTAGGTCACCGAGGACTTCCGACTATGGTGCTTTTCGATCCTTCTGAGCTCGTAGCATTCGCACTGTCGAATCAGTGTCGATACCAGATAGTTTTCTACTTCATTGTTGCGTTATTGATTCGTGGAGGCCCTTGAACCAGGCAGGGAGCGAGGGCGCGCTGGAAGCCCGGAGCATTGTTTGTGTTTGGCCGTGCGATGTTGACGAGAGGAGTGTTGGCAGTTATTGAACAACTTTCGACTCTATGCGGATCGTTTTTTTGGTCTGATCTATAGATCTTGCTGTTCGTTCGCTTGAGATGTTGGATGTAGCGTCGTTTCAGGTCGTAAGCATTAACTCTTCTCGCAACTTCCGCTTTCGTGTCTGATGCACATGTTTTACATGCGTGGTTCGTCGTGGAAAGCAGGCAGAAACCATGGCGTATACCATATCAACGCATACATGTACCTGCTTGCTGGTGTTCAGAAACCGGACATTGCCCCGCAGTATAGAAGGGGCGATGTTGTGGTTGGAAAAAAAACGAACAAACAAACGCCTACGAGCCACAGTATGGCAATCAACGGTATTGTGTGTCGGCAGTTGTATATAGTTGATTGTAGGTGCAGATCCAGGTTTTTTTTTTTTTTTTTTTAATAAATTTGGACCGTTTCTCGACTTAAACGTGTCATCCTTGGAAGCGCAGGGGCCCTCATCATGACTTCGTTATAAACCACAAGTATTTTGGCCAAGCTATCGGCCACGGAAACAAATAGAGTCGAAACGTTTCTAGTCGGATGAATTTGGACGCTCTTGTAGTAGTCCGTAAATTTCCTAAAATCGTGGCGCGTTACGGGGCGACTTTTCCAAACAACATTCTGTCGAGGAGGGCAAGATCAGTCCACCCCCGCCATCCACACAACTCATTTCCATTTGCATCGTTTTCCTTCCCTTAGAAATCGCAGTTGTAGTCGACAGCTTGTTCCCCAGCGCTTCCAAGGATGACATAGCGAGAATGAACTTCCCGCTAGAACTGACCAGATGCACGTGCCACATTTTTGTCTCTTTCACATTTCGAGAGTGGTGTGGCGAGGCCCTAAGTGGAATAGCGCAAGGGAGATTTCTACCTGGGCGAATTCCACCTCAGGCAGGATTAAAATCCATCTCGGTCGAAAAGTTCCATCTCGGTCGAAAAGTTCTGAAGCCCACTAGCCAAGTATTCTACGACCTGTGACACAGTTTTATGGTTTTTTGGAAAATACAAAGTGATTTTTTATTTGCATGAATGGATCATTTTCTGATTTAAAATGAATTGAAATAGCACAGAAAACTATGAAGAACAGCTGCGCACCCGGATTCATGGGTTGGTACCATCTCCTTCACGGAAGTCTTCACAGTAATGTACCGTGGCAATAAAATGTGTCCACAAACACATTCACGAGGATGAACAAGTAACGGGTATTGGGATACACTCCTCGCCATGTATCTGATGATGCCTTTAGCAGGCCATCCGACAGACGCGGAAGCCTTCCTGTCAGATGCACCACAATATTCGAATTTCACATTTCAAGTTCTGTTTCTCAGAGCCAAAAAAAAAAAAAAAAAACCGAAGTCTGGAAATCAACCCCCCCCCCCTTTAAAGCCCATAAAATCCTGACTTCCCGCCCACGCAAAGCCACGAGCTATCACGTCCAAGTTAGTCCAACTTTGTTCTTTTTTTCTTTTTTTGGCGCATCTCATTGGACGGGAGGTGGGCATCTTTACAGTCCCCGCTCGGAAACTACCAGGCCGATGAGATCCTATCTATTCGACGGCCGTACTGAGTCACTGGATGCCACACGTGATCGACATCCTGAACGGCATGGTAGAATACCTTGCTAGTGGGTCCAGGCCCCAGGACACATACTTTTTTTTTTTTTTTTTTTTTTCCCTCCCCCATGGTCTGCAACTACAAACACTACACTTTATCTTAGGGCCTCGCCGCACCACTGTCGAAAGTCGAAAAAAATCGACGGCTGTCAGAACGAATTCGACGGCCTCCATTCTACAGTTTGACCGCCTTTCGCCACACAGAACTGTAGAGTGCACGCACTTGTGAAAGCAAGATGGAAAGAGATGAACGTGCCTGAGGGTACGACAAGCATTAGTCCATCCCGACCTTAGCCCCACTTACCGAATTTCAAAGGGAAGTCGACGGCGCAGCCGAGGAGTGTCGAAAGCATCGGAGTAGCAGGCTCGGGATTCAAAAACTTTCGACAGGAGTTGTCGAGAAGCATTCTCTGACAACCTGTGAATTTTCTGCGAATTTTCTTCACGTCTCCGACTTCGACAGCCTGTGTGGCGAAGAGAAACTGTCGAAAATCGCATTTCCGACAGTGGTGTGGCGAGGCCCTTAGGGCCAGATCCCACTGGCGAAGAGGTTTGGAATAAGTGGTCGAATCTGGATGTGTTCCACACACAGAGGCAGAAATACAGAAGAGTCACAATTGTTGACAGCCAGGATGGCTGTGTATACATGGATGCGTTTTTTGCTTTTTTTCGTTTGGGGAAATTTGTCATCATTTCCAGTGCACCGAGGCAGCTGCGTTGTCCAGCTGCATTCACAATGTTTTCAGATGGCGAGTCGTGCAGAGTCTTGGAACTAGGCCTAAAACATAGGTGTAAGCGGGTATAAGAGGGTATAGGGGGTCGCGGTCGCTAACACGACACCGACCGGTAGTTCCGTGAGCCAACGTGGTGGTCACGGGGCTGGTGGTGCGGTCCTTGGATGAATTGCGGGCTGCGCCGGGTTTCCAGTTCGGGAAGTTAGGAACCAATTATCCAACCGTTCGTTACATTGGGAGACATTGGGGGACCGACGGAGGTGGTGCTACTCTCCGACTGTGGAAAAAGAGTCTGACCGAATCCTTCTTTAGAACATGGAAAGATACAGTGTTCAGTCTCATTTTCCCTCCGGTGCCACTCTCGGACCGTGCAAAATGAGACTGAATCCTTCCTTAGAACATGGGAAGATACAGTGTTGCCCCTTTGCTTGGCCTTTTTCTGGGCCTTCCTGTACTAAATGTCTAAATGTATCTGATTGCAATCAGGTCCACAGTAGTGGAGCGAGGCCCATGGACTTGGTCATGTTTTTTTTTTCTCTCCAAACGGGCCCAGTTGAGACTGAACTTTTTTTTTTTTTTTTTTTTTTTTTTTTAACATGGGAACTGGGCTGGTCGCCGGGCCACGGCCGTCTGGCTGCGCCCCCACGCCCTAGCGTGGTATCAGTTTGCACATCTCCAAAAATACTGCCTAGATTCAGACTCTTTTTGCCATCCTCTTTGCCAGTGGGATCTGGTCCTTTTTTTTTTTTTTTTTTTTTTTTGGTCCTTAGCCAAAACACGGAGAAAGGTATTGTTCACTTTTTCTACGGCTTCTGTGGAAGGCTCCTGTGTCTTTCCGTTGATTGACGCAGCAGTGAATCAGCGGTTCTCTCCTCTGTCCGCTAACCTGCCTGTGTTTATGCTTTTCTGTTTTTTTTTTATATAAAAAATGCTTTTCTTTTCATAGATGGTCCAGATTTGCTCAATGCGAACAATTTGCATACCTTATGAGAGACGATTGGGAGGAGGGGGGTTGTCTTCCCGGGGGCTAGGTCCCTCTTGCACGAATTAAGAGATACTGACCGTAGATAGCAAAGATCAACGGAGGAAATCTCCTAATCCGTGCAAGTGGGACCTTGCCCGGGATAAGCTCTATTCCATCTGAAATCAGCTGTTTGTTGAGTCCGCGAAGGGCTGAAGGCGAGATCCGATTCATGGGGGGGAGGGCATTGACGTTCCCCCCCTCCCTCTCACTTCATCTGCGAGGACCGGTTCATGGACAGGGGTGAGGTCCCACTAGTTTAATGAGCGTTGGATTAAGCTCCTGAATCTGGACGCATTTTGAGAAGAGATGCTGAAAAGCAGTTGAATATCGATTTTCTGCATCTATCCTCGTAGGCGTCTAGATTCACACGCTCCATCCAATTACATTTGCTAGTGGGACCCCTAGCCCCCCCTTCCGCCCTCGTTTCTTCTGAATCAGATTAAGTTACGGCTAGAGGTCAATGCTTTGCTGTCCACGAACCGGTCAATTCCTCACCGCTGACGTGTTCTTCCAATGGACGCCAAAAGCGAGAAACGTTTCTTGAGGGATGACCGCACTTCCAACCTTCCTCACCTTTTTTTTTTTTTTTTGTTTTGTTTTTTTGCACAGAAAATCATTTATTCCAAGCAGAAAAGAGGCCGGGGACCTCACAATTCGACCCTGTCCTCCGGGACAGCCGTTAAAATTGGAACGATCCAGAGAGAAAGAAGATTAGCATGGCCCCTGCGCTTTCAAGGATGACATGCGTAAGTCGAGAAATGGTCCTTTTTTTTCGACCCGGAGTTATCCCGGCAGCGTCAGCCGGTTTAGCTTACAGCCTTTCGGCTGGGGACTCCTTCCTTATAGAGTCGTCAAAACAACACTGATCAAGGTCCGGGGGCTAGGTCCCACTTGCACGAATTAAGAGATAGGGACTGTAGATAGCAAAGATCAACGGCCGATATCTCCTAATTTGTTTTGTGCAAGTGGGACCTTGCCCCGGGATGTCGCCGTTTAGACAGCAATAACTAGGAATAGGATCAATTACTAGACAGTTATTTTCTGAGTTGATGGGAGTTATGGCTTGTAGCAGCTGTCTTATTGGAGTACTTTAGGCCTGTTTGGCTTTTATGGGTATGTGGCATGATTTTTGTTTCCAAAGGTTGGAATTTCAGGGCAGCCGTCGAGAGTTGGCGGTTTCTGCTTCTCAAGCTTTTTTTTTTTTTTGGAGGGTAACTTTGCTTCGTTAAAAGGACAAGAACAGAGGTCGTGGACGTCACAATTCAACCCGGATTGCTGAAAAACGAAGCAAACCAGCGTTGTTTTTTTTTTTTTTTTTTTTTTTTTTTTTTTTTTTTTTTTTTAAATAGCATTCTCGGGCAAACCAGCATCCTATCTTTGGTATCAGACTGGAAAGCAGCTCCAGTGTCCTCAGAAGAAGAGAGAGAAAAACTGGCTGCAAACCAGGTCCAGCGTCCTTTCCCCCCCCAAAAAAAACTTACTTGCCTCTGTTTCCTCACTTTATTTAGGGTTGGGCGGGTGTAGGAAGGGTGTATGGCAATAAATGTTGACTGCGGGAGGTCAATGCTTTCCTGTCATGATCTCTGTTCAGTCAATATAGAAATTGGGTTGGGTGGCAGGGGCGTATGTCAATATATGATGAGGATCTGCTCCGAAAGGTGGGGAGGGCAAGTTGCGCTTTCGCCTTTTTTTATGCTATGGGGTATGTGGTATGTGTACATGTTTTGATGCGTTTTTTTTTTTTTTTTT